TGGGTGGAGGCTTTCACATCAATAATTCCTTATAGGTACTACCGTAATGGAAAGTTATGATATAAAAATTCTTTAGAGTAATAAGAGTTTTTTATCCTTCTTTTGGAATAACCATCAAGAGGTTCATTTAGCATCAATTCATCAATATTCACTTTCCAAACTTTTTTTTATAATAAAAGGTCCTTTATTATTTTCTTTATATTGGTTGATATATGTTTAAAAATCTATCTTTTATTGCTTTGCTTGTTGCCATATATTGCCTTCTACAATTGCATTAGTATAATCATGCTAAATGTGATTTTGAGACTTCTCCCCTTTATATAATACTCTTTCATATCTTTTTTATATCTCTTGTATTCTCTACTTTATCTTTTTATTTTCACCTCTATTTCCATCATTGTTTTTTCCATTACTTTTATATTTTTTTTTTCTATTCTTCTATTCCCTTTTCAAATCACTTGAATGGTTTTTAGTTAAGGCAATTGACCAACTCAAGAAGGAGTATAGTGATCTCTTCACCTTTGATTTATCTTTTGAGGCTAAGATTGCATCCATCATCCAATTACAATTAAAGATGATTGACCAATTAAGATTTATTTTTAGCAATCGTTATAAAAAAAGATTAAAATCTTATATGCAAATAGTAAGGAAATGTTAGAAAAAAATGTTATTTGAAAGTATTGAAATCCTTGAATATGTGAGCTTTATCTTGTGATAAATTTTAATAGGAGCATTTAATTTTATATAAACTATTATGTAATAAACGATATAACTATATCAAATATGTACTCTCTTCCTGATACTATTGTTTGGGGAAAAATCATTAATTCACCAAGTTAAATCTTGTTTCTAAATACTAAGAAGTGTTAATGGTTGGGGAGAAAAAATACTTTTTATACATTATTTGATTTATACGAGTTCTTGGTGATGCTATTTGATTTGAACAATACTTTAACATAATAGATGATAAATAAAATTCTTTATAATATGTCAAAAATGGCATTGACTTCATCGATGATATCTTCATCCTTTTGAAAAGGATGTGGGAGGAGCACATTTGTGATATCCACAAAGTGTTGAAAAATTCATGGAAAGATAGTTTGAAATTAAAGTGATTAAAATGCACATTTGGGTCTAAAGACATGACTTATCTTGAGTATTATATTTCTCCTGAAGGCTTGTAAGTTAATCTTGATAAATTTATGTCATCAATCATACTTGCACCATTCCAAATGTTGATGAAGTTATCAACATTATTTTGTATTTGGTCTTAGGACTGCGAGTAAGCATTTAAGAAAAGTGTTAACAACTCTTTCAAAATTGGCAACTACACTTAATTTTTTATCTTGCATATATATACTTTTAGTATTGGTATCGAATGTGTCTTGATGCAAGAGAGCACAAGTGTGTTTAGTTAACATCATCCCATTGCATACATCAACTATATTACAACTAATAAAAGTGAATTATTCCACAATAAAGAAAGTCTCTCAAAAAGTTTCATACATACTTGCATGGTTCT